CATACAGTAGACACTGTTGCATAAATGTTAATTCTCATTGTTAAATATTTCCGTGTTTGCAATTTTGGTTTCGAAATCGGCAGGACTATACTCTATGATGCAAAAAATAGCGAACTATGATGTCCCCCCTTTATTACTGTCGTCATCTATACCTTCTGCGGGTAAAACCGCGAGGCAGAAAGCTAGTTACCATATACAGAATGCTCTCAACGCATTCTAAAGGCTCATAGTTTTCATCCGTATAAAATTCACCTGGTACAAGAACTTAATGAAAACGATTTTTATCGGCGATTACAATTTTGTGAAGATATGATTGAACGAATTATAAACGATGAACATTTTCTGTTCAACACTTGCTTTTCCGACGAATGTTCCTTTTTCTTAAATGGCGTAGTAAATCGTCATAACTGCCGATATTGGTCCGACTCTAATCCCAGAATTTAACATGAGGTTCATACACAGCAGCCACAAAAATTAAATGTTTGGGCTGGAATTTTTGGCGATCATTTAGTTGGTCCTTTTTTTTACCTGGAAATTTGACCGGTAAAATGTATTTGGAATTACTGAAAGACGCCATAGATCCTGCATTAACAGCCATAATTGAAAATCAGAATGATCGGCGATACATTGCGAATAGGTTGATGTTCCAACGGGATGGTGCCCCACCACATTACGCATTACGTGTTCGACAATATTTAGATCAGACGTTTACAGATCGATGGATTGATAGAAGAGGTGCCATTGAATGGCCCCCAAGATCGCCAGATTTATCACCTTTGGATTTCTTTATGTGGGGTCATTTAAAAAGCAAAATCTATGCTACTCAGCCAACATCATTAGAAGACCTGCGACAAAGAATTGTGAATGAGTGCCTTCAAATTACTCCTCAAATATTGCAAAATGTGCGGCAACGTTTTGAGCAAAATCTTTATTATTGCATGGAGAGTCATGGTGGCCATTTTCAACATTTACTTGCCTAACGAGTCAGTTCATTATTCATTTTTAAATTACTTTGCTGCCAAATGTATTGATCTCCACTAATGATGATGTATTAGTTTTATTTAAGATTTAAATCAATAAATCTTCAAAACTACTGAACTGAAGTACATTAATTTTATATCATTATAAAGGGAATTGAAAGACCTTTAAAATAAGGTATCACTCGACCCCCCTTTCCATTTAAGATTTTGGGGGTGGTGTCACCCCCGCTTAGGGGGCTGCACGTGCTAAAGTGATTTTTTGCCAAACCTGTGTCCCCCTCGAAAATAAAATCGACGGGTCTGAGCGTTTTTCCAAAAAAAAACTGAGCTGCCAGTAAATGCGTCTGATTTGTTTTCGATGTTCCACCCTGTATACCAAAGCTGTAAGGTAACCGCATTATTAGGTTCCAAAAAGCAATAAGTAAATCAGTACGATCCTGATACCCCCTCCCACGATCCCCTACTAGGTGTAAACGTATGCTGTACTAAGACGAAGCGAGTAAGTATCCCAACCAGTGGCGGCTCGTGAGGTAGTGCCACGGTGCCATGGCACTACCTTGTCTTCTTCAAAAAGAATATTTTTTTCAATCTTCAATGTTTTACTTTATTTTTTGCTTTTTCATTTTTTTTTTGGTATAAATTATATGAAGTGACAACACTGACAACGTGACAACACCGCAAGCACCCGAACACGCGACGAGATATAAAGCATGCCTTGACCTTGACGTCATCAACTTGTGCCAATGTCGGGCCGGCCCAAATAAAAAGAGAGAAATTTTACCAGCATCGCATACGAGCGACAGAGATAACGCTACAATACACATTTTTATATGAGGTGAATAGCGAAAGACAAGTATAATTTGTGCCAGGCACATCATCAGTCGTAATTCGTTATCAAATGATATCGGCGGTGTTTTTGTTCGGTCGGTCGTTTCGTTATGATTACGTCTAGTGCTGATTTCGGTCTTTTTTTACCTGAAAAGTGAGAAATAACGTTTTTGTTTTAGTACGTCTAGTGTTAATGAACTGCTCTGTTTTGTGATCATATTTTTTACTGTTTTATTAAAACTAGTGAAAATGAATAAAATCGGGATATTAAAAAACTCATTTAGTGGTTTTTCGCTGGATCAAAAACTGCAAATTAAAGAATTAGGACGGCCAATACCCGATTTAAAAATTGAGAAACAAAGTGGTAGCGGACAAAAATCGCGCTGTCGCAAATTTAATAAAAATGTGTACGATAAAAACAGCTGGATATGTGGTTGTGAAGAAACGAATAAACTATTTTGTTTTGTATGTGTTCTATTTGGAGGTGACGAGACTTGGTCAAAAAAGGTACAGATGATCTTATACATATATGGGATAAAATGAAGACCCACGAAAAATCTAAAGTCCATATGAATAATGTTTTTAGCTTTTCTATTCTTGGTAAATTAAATATAAGGACTCAACTCAATTCGGCTTATCGCAATGATCTAATTAAACATAATAATCAAGTGGATAAGAATCGATATGTATTGAATAAAATTATTAATTGTATAAGGTTTTGTGGAGTATTTGAGTTAGCCTTAAGGGGTCACGATGAAAAGGAAAATTCGGAAAACAGAGGCATATTTAAGGAGCTGGTGAATTTTAGCGCCGAATTAGACAACGAATTGAAAGTCCATATTCAAAGTGCCAAACTTTTCAAGGGTACCTCAAAAACAACTCAAAACGAGCTTCTTGAGTGCATGCTAGATGTTTATCATGAAGAAGTTAAGAAGGAGATTGCAAATTCTCCTTTTGTTGCAGTAATTGCCGATGAAACGACTGACGTAGCCTGTGAATTTCAGTTAGTTATTATTTTCAGATATTTGTGTAAAGGACAACCAGTTGAGAGATTTTGGAGATTTTACGTCCCCGGCGGACACGATGCCAAATCAATCGCTGCATGCGTTTTAAATGTTGTAAATCCATTAATAGATCAAAATCCAAACAAATTAATAGCTCAAAGCTATGATGGTGCGTCTGTTATGAGTGGTGAATTGAATGGCGTTCAAAAGATTATTAAGGAAACTTATCCACTTGCAAATTATGTTCATTGCTATGCACACCAGTTAAATCTAATTATGACAAGCGCATGCTCTGTCAATAAGCAGGCTAGAATATTTTTCCATAATTTATCTGGATTGTGCTCTTTTTTTTCGACGTCTCCTCAAAGAACAAAAATTTTGGATGAAATAGTTAATCGCAGATTGCCAAGATCTTCCCAAACACGTTGGAATTTTCAGTCACGAGGTGTTCATACAGTTTATGAAAATAGGAAAGACCTGATTGAAGTTATGGACAATATAGAAAGTACTTCACGCGATTCTTCGTCGATTAATCAAGCCAGTGGGTACAAATTAAAGCTGCAAGATACAAATTTTGTATTTTGGCTAAGTATATTCCATAAAATAATGCCACATGTTGAAATTGTCTTTAACCAATTACAAAAAGTATGCACCGATTCTGTTAAGGTCAAAAATGATTTAGAGAATTTTGAAGCAGCAATTCAAACTATACGAGAACAAATGGATAGCATTATTGACGAGATTGAACGAGTGCAGAGAGAAACTGATGAACCGGCAAGAAAAAAAAGGCAAGTTGAAGAAGGCAGCAAAAAACGGGAAGCGTTAGAAATATGCGATGCAGTATTATCGCAAATAAGAACAAGATTTAACTTTTCTGGGCATTTAGTTGCTTCTAATTTATTTGTGTCTGAAAAGTTTTCTGTTTATAAACATCAGTTTCCTGAAGCACATTTAAATGACACATGCACACAATTTTCATTTTTAGACAAAAACAGGCTTAAAACTGAGTTACAAGTATTATATCAGAGAGAAGAATTGAGTACTACTTCTGGAGCTGTTCCACTATCCATTTTATTGAACGAGGAAGGATTAAATTGTACGTTTCAAGAAACTCTTAAGCTCTTAAGTATTTTAATCACTATACCGATGTCAACATCTGAAGCAGAACGCTCTTTTTCAATGCTGAAACGGATTAAAACTTTCCTCAGAAACACAATGAAGGAAGAAAGGCTTAGTGCTTTAGGAATGCTGTCTGCAGAAAAACATTTTGTTAGTGGCATTGAAAATTTTAATAATAAGGTAATCGAAAACTTTGCTACCAAAAAAGAAAGAAGAATGGACTTCATGTATAGAAAACTTTGAAGTTATAGGTACTTCTCCACACTTGTTTTATAATTTGGTGCGCGTGTGTAAATAGTTTTATTTTTGATTTTTTTTTGGACATATAGATTTATTGAACCTCAAGAACTTTGACCACTAACTATCAGGGGTAAGTTATAAGTTATTCTTTACAATTTTGAATCGATTCAAAATTATGGCTTCCATTCTGGCACTACCTCACTGAATTGGCACGAGCCGCCACTGATCCCAACCACACCTCGCGTGGTGTCTAGATTAATCTAGTGTTACGAAAAATAATACATCGGGTCCAAGGACGGCAACGTCGGAAGACTAGATAATATATACAAAAACTTGTATGGTACAAAAAAAAGCATGTAAACACTAAACGGACAGAATAAATCGAGCGTTGTTACCGGGCAGGTAGTTTTTATTGAGAGCTCCGAAAAACATCGTGTCGTGTGAGAAAAGACGTAATACTAGCTTATAAACAAACCGCATTTGAAAAACAGAAATTCACACATTCCTGGAGCAATAACGTGATTATCTATTTTATATGAGCATCTTAAAGAGCTTATTGATACTCCGCGAGTGTACTCAGAACATTGACTTTGTCCTCGATGTTGCTTTCCATCAGTGCTGCATATGTTTGATTATATCGTTTGCCTGCATACAGTTGAAGACCTAGATAGCACCAAATTTAGCAAATTTTTAGGAAGACAGGACAGCACCTGAAATTTTTTCTCATTTTCTTAACGTTTTCGGTGTTGTTTTGCCAACTCTGAAAAGGAAAGTCTTCACTATTTAATGCTTTAGTTATTTTTCAGATACAGAAATAAAAGTAACTTACAAAGTGTTGTGGATTGTGTGATGGCAGCGGTACCATATTCGGGGGGTGTTGCGGGGAAAGTATCACATGACGTAAGGTACCACTCTCATCGACGATCTGCTGCACCATGTGACCCGGCGGTACCTGGACCGGCATCGCGATGGGAGGGGAGGAATTCGTTGAGACCATTGGTACTGTCACCGGACCTGGAACAAAATAATATATCGTTTATTCATTTTTGTTTGAAAAACACTTGATGAAAATTTTGATAAACATGCTCAGTGACGTTAGGAATGTTACAACCAGAAAAAATAATTTCTTGAACTTGATTTTTTGGCAATGAGGTAGTGATATATCAAGAATGACACGATAACATTCTCACCAGTAATAAGAAAAAAAAATAATAATGTGAATACGCTCCTGTATACGTCTAGGCATCGACAAATATGACAAAAATGTTTTAACTTCAAAGCACAATTCAAATCCTGACATTTTTGACACGATTGTGGATGAAATTCCAACAACAAAAACATTGTTAATGATAAGAAACAAAGTATTTTGCAAATAAGTAATTATCTACTTGTTATAATTCGCATAATAAATTATTATAGCGAATTCCTGTTATTCATTTACTGTGACATGTATTTTATAAATAACTTGTCACTGATGGATAATCATTTCGAAGTATGGAAGTAACATCATCAAAATATTGATATCAGGAGAGAAAAAAAATGTTATTTATTATTGAAACTGTGTATAAATACACACACACTGATAATTGGATGTTCAAGTAACGCTGCCTCGATAAACGTCCAAGGAAGCGTTTGAGATCGCATTTCAGAGTAGGCTGTAATATAATTTCAAAATTTGTAAGATTTTTAAAACTTTTTACGATTTAAAATTTTCCAAATTACCAAAATGATTTTTTCATAGTTTTCAATATTTTGAAAATTATGAAAGTTATGAAAATTTTGGAAATTTCGCAAAAGGTGCAAATTACGAAAATTTTTAACGTTCCCAATTTCCTCCCTGGATCCGCTCCTGTTGAGTCACTCCAGTGGGATCTACAAACGGAATTATTCAGAGGAATGTGTAGTTAAGTGACTCATAGGTTGACATAATCTTCGAAAATGCATTCGTAAAGACTGTCGTGGAAAAATGTTGGCTGGTAATACAATTTGACATAATTAATCATCTTTAGAATATGATATAACGACGACCAGGCGTTCGACAACATCCATTATTCTCTATTAGTGCCAAGGCGAATCGGCAGCGCAGCGGCATACCATTACGAATTTTTCGGGTACGATCTTCAAAAACCCAGAAGTATTAAGAAAAACTGTGATATACTAATAACACAACTATACTAATTCGGTTGAAATTTGTGTACATCAAGAGCTGGGCCATGGAGTTTATATACTAAGTGACATATAAATCCGAACACCCAGTTTAAATGGTTTTATTTTAATAAAATTCTGTATAAGTACTTAATGAAGCATAATAAGTAAATGATAAAAATTTCAAAATGATTGCACTGCTTTAAAGCTCTTTGACCTTTAATAATGTGTGAATGCACCCTGATGTGCTACGCATTCTCCAACGCGCCTAGGCATGCTTCTGATCAGGTGGTCAATGTCCTTCTGTGGTATCTCATTCCAGACAACCACAAACTCCTCTCGAAGTGCTTCTAGAGTCTGAGGAGGACGTTGCAAATTGAGCAATCTCCTACCCATCATATCCCACACGTGCTCAATTGGAGATAAGTCGGGAGATCTTGGTGGCCATGGTAACAATGTGACATCATTATGTTGAAAGAAGTCTATTGTGACTCTTGCAACATGTGGTCGGGCATTATCTTGTTGGAAAGTTGGATCTGCCAGGGTGTCAAGATAGGGTAAAAGATGGAGTTCTAGAACTTCGTGGATATAACGCTGCGCGTTCATGTTACCTCTGATGAAGATTCAAGGTGACCTGGAACCATAAGCTATAGTACCCCAAACCATAACTCCAACAGTGTGATGAACATGTCTTTCAACAAAAAACTGTGGATTCTCCCTTTCACCACGTCGCCTTCTAACCCTGGCACGACCATCGTGCATGCCTAAACAAAATCGAGACTCGTCACTAAAGACAATACTGTTCCATTCCTGATCCCAGAGTGACCGGTCTGTTGTTCTACGGCGGCGTCCAGTGCCCCTTGCTCTTTGCGTACGGCCTTCTCGAAGCCATGCCTGACAACACCTAACCACAGTGTCTACACTTCTTTGCACTCTAACTGCAATTGCCCAAAAAGAACGTCCAGCTTCCCGAAGTCCCACTATACGGCCCCTATCAAACTCACTAAGTTGACGAAATCGTACAGGTCTCAGTACTCTAGGCATCGTAACCGATCGTAAAAGATGTCAAGAACCAAAATCCGCCAACGTTGATTCTTTACTGCGGCTGAAATATTCATTTTTAGAGCGTTAGTGAATTAAAAAAATACAGTATAAAAACCGGAATGTCCAACTGATAAGGCTCAACATTTTTTCACTTGTTATTTACAGTAAGATAAATACATTCACCAACTTTTATTAAAATAAAACCATTTAAACTGGGTGTTCGGATTTATATGTCACTTAGTATATAAAAGGAGTAAACTAAAGCAACACTGTTCGTGTTGTAAAAAACGCCTGGAGTATATATATCAGTGGTGCTTTGACAGAGCTGCCACGTTGGGAGATTTTTCTCCAAATTTGGGGATTCAATGTTCACTCTTTGAATTAAACCTACACTTTTCCATTAATCAACTGCGATTTGGGATAGTAGCAGTTCTTAGGAATTTTTGGGCTTGTTCTGATGAAATTCGGACACATCTGGCAACGCTGTACTTTGACAGATCCGCCTAACCTCAGATATCCTGCACACGCACAGTATTTGGTATCTCTCCGATCAGTGAGCCCTTAGTCAGGTCGTTTTCTCATTTCGTTGGTCTATATGACCGTTCCTTCATTCCTGTGTTATCGAGGATGCGGCACAATCAACGATAAAATGATTATTTAGTCAGTTCTAAAAAGGATTATTTTATAACTGCCTAGATTTATGTTGAATTTGTTTCTTATAAAAACTTCAAGGTCTGATATCTAGAGTGATTCTAAGAAAAGTTTGTACAAGGTCGTTCAGAAAATTGGGTCAATATTTCACGAAAAATATTTATAAATAATATAACAGGACGTTTAAGTTCTAATTTCAAAATCGAAAAATATACTATTCAAAAAAATTAAAGGTGCAAAAAATCCAAATTTTTCGGTGATTTTTGGCAGGCTGTATTTCGGTGGAAAATGGTCATATCTAGACTAAGAAAAGATCCAAGTTTCAGGTTTTCAGCCGAAAATTTTAGGATCAACGGTTCTCATGCAATTCTGATTTTTTGCAAAATTTTTGCTCTTTTTAGTCCATGGACTTGAAAAATGTTTTTCTTTCAAGCCACCATATAGATAAGACGATGAGTTCCAATATCCTGTATTAAAAAACTCGACACTATCATGGCGAGCAGATATCGCACTTTGAATGAAAAAGGGGCCTTTTGTCATCGACCAAAATTTCAGATTAGAATTGCTTTTTTTACCAAAATTGCAGATTAGAAATGCTTTTTTTTAAGTCTAGATATGCCCATTTTAGACCGAAATACCTACGAAAATTTCAGTCTATACTAGAGGCATCAAAATTGGAAAATGTTGACCTCAACGCCACAGACTCTTTTGAAACATCGCATATTCAATTTTACATAAATCGCCTCTTTTCAGAAGTTTTTCTGAAACTACACCTTTTTGGAGACAAGTCGGTTTAATATTTGAGATAAAATCGGTATCTCAAATTTCAACGCGTCCTATTTAAGAAACACGCTGAAGCTTGACATTAAACATTCCATTTAATGTACCAGGAGTTGAATCCTAACTCACCATAGAATTATTTGAATATGTCCAAATGTTCCCCTTATGCATTCACATTTGAGGCATAGATAGTTACAACACTGTAACAACATTTTTGGGCTTGTGTGCATGGGTACCTTTATTGTGGATGTACATTTTTTATTGACTTGTGCTTTGAGGTATCAACCTACTTGATACCTTTTTTGTCCTAAGGACCTCAGTAGCTCATCAGCGGTTTTGTTAATTTTTGTCAAAATTAAGTGTGCGCTTTACACCGCCATCATAGTCGTATAACTTTTGTGTTAGCGAATGCATCAAAAACCAGTTTCCGTTTCACCTACGACACTGAGACCAGCCGATGCCAAACCTCATCGCTCAGCATCATGTCGTAAAGTTCTGTTCGCAGCCAATAAAAAAAATAGCCGTTGTAAGATTGATGCATCGTGAATGTAATAATATCAATATTCATCTTGCTCTACATGCATAACATCCGTAAGTTTCTGTTCTGTTGTTCTGTATATGACTAAGAATATGTTATTATTAGAAAAACGAACAGAAGCGCTTTGTGGGCGGCAATATGAGGTCAAGTGTCGTCTGTCTGCCGACGGGCGTATTGCTTTCAGCTCTTCCTATATTGTGCTTTCATGTTTATATAATTTAGATACAACTAGTGTGAATGTGTTTATTCTTTTCAGAGAGAACAGGCAGATAGATCGGTAGCTAGATATGTGGTGTGTGGTTATCATAAAAACAAAAACATTTTCCGTACATACGACATTGAGCAATGAGATCGGCAACGTAGCGTCAACACTGCAGGCGCAGAGCTTGGAGGGGAGACAGGGGAACATAATGAAGGGTACCGGGGGAAAACGGCATTAGTCCATTATTTGTAATCAGCTTCTTAAATTGTAAAAAGGGCTTAGGTTCACAAAACAACAGCTATAGATTGCCGGGGAGGAATGGCATGAGTCGCTGCGCATGTATGGAAAAACGGCATCAGTCCATATGGAAAGGCCGCACCTACCTGAAAACCTATATATCGCAAAATTACACAAAATGTATTCTATTGGCAATGTTGAAAACAAGATTTCCTATGAATCCTTCCGAGAAATCTGTGAAAACAACTTCAATATATCGTTCGGTTATCTACGAAAATATACTTGTAGTACGTGTGATTCCTTAAAAGCTGATATATCTTCACCTACCGCTACCTTAAATTCCCACACGAAACAAACTAGGCAGTCAGCAAGTAATAATTTGGAGAAAAAGATACTTGAGAAGACACTACATCAAAA